AGTCCACCAGAGGAGTGTAGCCAGCCCCGCCGACGGGTACACAAGGTGAGCCCTCAGCAACCCCACGGTTATCGGAGTACCCCCTCCGTCAGTCGGCAGTCCAGGGCACTGTGTGTCCGAGTGGATCGCAACGCGATTTTGCGAATCCCACTCCACCACAGCCTCTTCCCAGCTGTACCGGTTTGTTTGGTCCGAGCTTTGATTTGGAGGCAGTATAGCATACAAATATTACGATACAACCTCTCGACGACTTCCACGGATTTTGCTTCTTGTATGGGGTATCCAGTACGTGAACCAGATCCCAAACGTCGTCTGTTACGCTTCCTTCCGTGCATATGTAACAGTGAGAGGCACGCCTAATCCGATACCGGAGGTGCAGGTCGCAACGAGAGGGGCGTCTCCGGACGCTTCTTTTCGGTCTTCGCAGGTGCGGCTTTCTTCTTTCGAGTTGCAGTAGCAGTAGTAGTGGTTTTCCGTCGCTTCCCGGAAAACTTGATCTGTTTTCGATCCACCATTGCAAGAAATTCATATCGTCGTGGACAACAGCTGAGTCTCGAAAATATTTCTTAAACTCCCACTTGCACTCCTCCAGTAGCGCCAATTCCGCGTCCTCAGTTGTTGGTTCTGCCCTAGTAATAACCCGACAGCCGACATCGATACTTGACTCTAACTTTTTTCTTTGAGATTGGGCGGTCAGGGGTTGCTGCTGGAGTTGGACTACTTAGGCTGTCTCTCGTGATAATTGCAGCGCTAGCGATAGCCACCATATTGTTGTGTATATCGTCGGGAATGTCTGGCGAGGGTATGAAATCAGAGTCAAGACCAACCCAAATGTTGTTGGACTGGACAGATAAAGCTATCTGCTTCGAAGTTGACAAACTGGGAAGGACACTCACAGAAGTATGCACGACTTGGACGCAGGATTTACTACAGAACCTATATTGGAGTTAAACAAATGTGTATCAATTAGAGTGCAAAGGAAATGAAACCACTTTTACTACCTCTCGTTCAGCGCAGAGTCAGCTCCTTCATAGACACCAATAGCACACATGTGATGGACAAGTTTTCCACACACCGTACACGGCTCCTTCCGTAGTTCGTCGCCTTCCTGGCAACCCGCTACAGTTGGCTAGCCAACGACGTCGTGTGTTGGGAGAAATGAAGTTTGCGATCGCCCCCAAACGATGAAGGAGAGCCACAGGATTACAAATTGCCAAATAAGAGCTGACATTGCTCATTCAGGGTACCTGAAAAGTATTACTCTGAGGCTACTACCGCCCTGCGCGGGGAGAGTAATACTAATACCCATAGTTAATACCATACAATACGGTGTTAGTATTAATACTATCGAATAAAACTAGTAGTAGTGTTACCTAAATTACTATTTCTGAAAATACTACCAACCCCTGCTGGTGATTTGCCACAGTGATCGAAATTTATTGAAAAAAAACAGGTGAAGTGCGAAATATTAGCATCTCCATTCTACAAAACTTATTTTTCAAGATAATTATTACGAATTCGTGTTTAACTCGAATTTTCACGAAACTGTTCATCATACGCAAAGACAGACTTTTTGCGACTGTTATCTATTATACTGGTAGTGCTTCGGTACAATTCATGTCCTTGTGTTGTGTTTCTCACACAGTTTCATGCAATACAAATATCATGAGAATCCATTTATGTTTTGTCACATTCGCATGAATTTTTACGAGATACCTGCGTAGGGAAACCATACATGATCGCATTGACTTACAAAAAAAATAAACTTCTGGGTTCTGTCCACACCTGGCTCGCGTTGTTGTTGTTGCACTTGTGATACATTAATTGATCCGGATACGATCCCACTTTCGTACGCTTATACTACAGCGCTATATTGATTTACGTACTAGGCAGTAAAACGACTATTAACGCAAAGCTACACTAATTCGATGGGTTAGCGTCCATGCATATCCATGGATATGCCATTTCACGTCGCTTTCATCCTCGATTGACACGCTGTATTGCAAGTACATACTGCGCTCAATCCGTCATGCTCCTGTTTGTACTGGTTGGTAAAAGGTAGGTAATTTGAGTCCGGCCAGTTCGGAGCCGCGATAGCAGAGGGTTCCCTTGGAGGATGGAGTGGCTACCGCGGTTACCAAAAAAAGCCGAACTGAGCCAACACTCAGCTTAGAACAAGTCTGATGGAAGTTTCCGGACCAAGATTCTGCATCTTTCAAAATATTACTTGATTGGAAATATCGGCGAGAAATGGAGAAAATAATTCGATGAGTACTGTGATTTTTACTGGAACGAAAGATATCACGGCTTTCTGGATGTTTCGCATCGCTGGTTAGGCAAACATTATGCTATAAAAAATGTTATCAGTGTAAGTCGCAGACGATATACCAGATCATATAGTGCTTTTACTCAACACTACGAGCCCAAATCCTCTCTAGTTTCAAGCTCTACAGGTCGGAGGTAGACTTTGTTATTAGAGTCAGCGTGACCATCACTCCTACTCAATAAAACGACTCAGCCGGATCGGTATTGAGGGATATTGAACATTGGTGGTATTTGGAAGTGGGACGGAATCTGTAGTGATATCTTTGGTACATACATATTATTATTGCTACTCACAAGTACTACTGTAAATGTATTATTTTAATATTTTTATTTTATTAAAATATACTTCTCTGGTCCACGATAGTATGCGCGATTGTTTTTTTGTGGTGTACACAATACGTTTTATTGGCCAAAACTCAACCAGCAGGCAATACGGCAACGTGCTCTCTCGCGCCAGTAATTTCAACGGAAACTAACCACTAATTCCTACCCTCTCATAAAGCTTTCATCCCAACACAATGCGCAAGCCGGGTGCCAAAGAAATATCTCCGCGGGTCTGCGTAGCTGTCGCTCAGTTTTTAGCTGTTAGGTGAAGCAACGACAAAGTGCAAAGAGGTTGTATTAAAGCTGCGGCTGAACGGTATAAGATCTCCCGCCGAAAAGTGTCCGCGAAATGGAGCAACCGCGACAACTTCGAAGCTCTTGTTGCCCCTCGAAAACCAAGAGTCCGTGGACGCACACAACTTTCTCCAGCGGAAATCGCTGGCAAAAATCATGAAGCGCCCATGAGCGCGCGCCAGACGTTGCGCTGCCTCGCCTCGACTACTGGCATTCCTAAGACGACGCTGATGCGCCACTTGGCTGCAGGTTTCTTTCGTCGTGCTACGACTTGTGTTATGCCGAAGCTGACAGACGTGCACAAGGCACGCCGCTTGGCTTTCGCTCTTGCTCATGTGGAGTGAGCATTTGGTACGTTGCTGCAATACTTAAAAATTCTATAAAACTAACCTTGTTTTGTGTTTGTTTCTTATTAATAGGAGGAAGAGACTAGAGAATGCATCACATGTAAGACTACGTACACGTAGATGAAAAATGGTTCAATTTATACAAGGTTATGACAAGATATTACCTCACCAAGGATGAGCTTGCACCTTATCAAGCATGCCCCAACCGCCGCTACATTGGCAAAAACATGTTTCTTGCGGCCGTAGCGCGGCCGCGGTACGACGCTAAACGCAAGACCTATTTCGACGGAAAAATCGGAATTTGGCCAATTGTAGAGTACGTGCGTGCTCAACGAAGCTCGGCAAATAGAGCAAAATGCACTATTGAGGTGAAAAACGCCAACACGACGCGAAAAAAGGTGTATGTGAAGATGCTCAAGGAAAAAGTATTTCCAGCGATTCGGCAACTTTGGCCAGGTAAAGCAATTGATTATTATTTTTTATTGTGATTAATATTTATCGTACTGTAGGGAGAAAATCGCTGTGCATTAAGGTGCAGCAAGACAACGCTGGACCACATGTTGCTGAAGACAATGCGGATATTCTTGAGGCCGGGATCGAGCACGGCTGGACGATAGAGATGACGTGTCAGCCACCTCGTTCGCCGGACTTGAACGTCCTCGATCTTGGTCTGTTCAATGCTATTCAGAGTGTTCAGTATCGCTACCCTACGCATAACCACCAGGGGTTGATCGCTGTAGTGGAAGACGCTTTTTGAAGTTTACCACGCACGACAATCGACAAGTGCTTCGTTACGCTTCAAAGGGTTTTGAAGTGTGTAATTTCCTGCGGTGGTGGCAATAACTACGCGTTGCCTCGGGTACGCAAGCTCTATCTAAACGCAAGATCAAACGTAACTCCGTCTTTGCTCCCCATACCGAAGGAGATTGTCATCAAAGGCTTCCGCTTGCTAGAAGCCAAATAAAGTACGGTTTTACCTAAAGTGTCGCTTAAATCATATGTAAAATTGACCATAACTTTCAAATAAATCGTTACTTGCCTGCTATTGGATAGTGAATGCGAATTTCATCGAGAAAAACCTCAATTTATTTCCGTGCTGTCTCTTCCGTGAAAGCAGCGTTATAGAGATAAAACAGGATTCATGCAATAGCCAGGATCCAGCAGTATTTTTCAGCGTGAATATCGCTAACTTGCCTAAGTTTTACGAAAAAAGCCTAATGGGCCCCGGAAAACCGAGCGTAATAACGATGTTCTAGTGCTCATTTCGAAACAGTTTTCCCCAGCAAAAATCCCCCGAATGCAGCAAGAGCAAAGCTGTCTGACGATGGTTTTTTTTGTTGTCTAATTCGTTCCAAGGCCGATATTACACCCAAAAAACCGAAACGCGCATATTATCGTGGACCAGAGAAGTAGAGTTTTTCAAGTTACAACGCGTCTTTTGGCAAACAACATCGGTGTTTTGTGATTGACTGATAGTACCATCACCACTGCTTCTCTTGCTTCGATATGATGAAGTCCGACACTACCATCTGGAAGCACAACGCAGTACATGTAGTTATTCTTCATTCCTTTAATATTGTATCTCTCGTCACTGCTTTATTTATTTTTGCTATGCTAATGAATCTCTTCATTATTGTACCGGAATGTCCGAGCACTGTATGCGCTGCCCATTGCTGCTTTGCGATCCAGTCAACGATCCAATACATGTATGCGGCTTCGCATTGAAGTTCACTACAATTTTGCGTCGACGATTAACGATTAGTGCTGAAACCTAGCCCAACATTACTGCTCAAGTCATGCGGCACTCGCGAAAGGTGAGCCAACTCATACTAGTACGAGCACCAAGCGTGCGTCAAAAGCACTGGGATCGTATGTACCTAGTCGCTATTAGCGCTAAACGTGACGTGAGATACTTTTTTCGGCGGCGGAGGAAGCCAGCTACTCACCGAGCCGGGCACAGTTTCGGCCTGTCGGATGGACCGAGCGCTGCGCGCTGGCAATCCGAGAGAGGAATTTTCTTATCTGAGTGGATATCCACTCAGATAAGAAAATTCCTCAATCCGAGACGAAAGTTTTCAATGCACGGATCGCCGGCTCTTCTTAGGCGGATACAGCGGTTTCCATTTCGCTTTTGGCACGTTTACCAGCCACGAACATCGGAATCCCAGCCACGCAACATCGGGCCATTTGCCTATCTAAGGCATTCTTCCTTCCCGAACCGACTTCCACCCGAATAACCTTTGATGGTACTTATACTACTTCCTCTATTTTTCTTCTGACTTGATTTCTTTAAGATATACATCTCTATTTTCTAATGTACCCGTTTAATCCGATCGCAAAAGCTGTCCCGCGCTGGAGCAGAGACCAGGCCCTAGGACGGACCTTGCCACTACTCGCTCTATTGGAAGTTGATCGACTTGGTGGACAGCCCAGCACAGCTTCTCGGCGACTCCTACTGCGTCGCGTTGTAAAGGCCCAAGAAACAGCTCCATCATCGGCCTTCCATTCTCTAACTGCACGGCGCAAGCACCGCAGTCTTCCCCCCTCGGCCATGAATGGCTCGTCCGTGAGGCGACCGCACACGCTCAGGACGCTCCGCGACCGGACGAGGCTTGACATGTTGCTATTGATGCTGACGCTGGTACTGATGCTTCTCGGCGTTGCGACGTCGCCGGTCGCGGCCGCGGCCTGTACGAACGCCAGCACTTTAGTGGAGGGCGAGTCGGACTCGACTGCCGTCGTGTACGACGCCAGCTGCAACGCTCGCAGCTTCCAGGTCGTCGTGAGCTCCACAGTTGAGCGGAGTTTGAACTTGTCCAACCTGGACGTGGTGGAGGTCAGGAGCTATCCGCGAGTATATCAATTGTAAGAAACCAGGACAGGAACAGTACGCTACGTTGGACTCTCTTACAGTGTATAATGGACTATTTGGACTGTTAGGTTGCTCAACAATAATGAGCTCGAGACGTTCGCGCCCGCAGACTCGGACAACGACATGGAAGACTTGTAGGTCACAGACAGAAAGGGGACAGGACAATTGAAATCGGACACTCACAGGGTTTTCCACTGTGGAACAGGGAGCTGGCCAGTAACTTCATCACGGACTTGTCGAGCTTTAACTTCCCTCGACGACTGAATTATCTGGATCTGAGCTCGAATTCGATCACGAAGCTGTCGTCGGCTACACCCTGGCCTGAGTCGGGCGAGTTACAGACGCTTCTGCTGCATGGAAACTCGCTCAGCTCGGTGGGTGTCGACACGTTCACGAAACTGGTCGCGCTGCAGTCATTGTACGTGTGACGGGTTTCAAAAGTACAGATTGTGACCGAAAATACTGACGTTTAATGGTGTTTCAGGTCGCTGTCGAGCACGGGCATCTCCAACCTGGACGACCTCATGTTGCCGGTCTCATTGCGTACACTAAACGCGACCAAGAACTCGTTTACAAGCGCGTCAACCAACTTCTCCAACCTACCGACGGCTCTACAATACCTGTGCGTGCATATACTTGTAGCCATGCGTACACAAACAACTGTACTAACGCGATTCGTACTGCAGGGACCTGAGCAGCAACCTCCTTACAGTGTTCCCGACCATCGTGTCTTCTCTGACTACACTCGTGGAGCTGTACGTTCTCCTACGACTGCGTTTTCGTGACTTTCACTAACGTATTTTATGGTTATCGCTTCAGGAACCTCGAGTCCAACGGGATCAAACAGATCAGCGGTGTGACCTTCGCGTCCACGCTTCGTAAAGTTTACCTGGGGGACAACCCGCTGTCCACAATTGAGATCTGCCGTTCGGACGTGAGTGTTTTTCAGAGTCTGGCGGAGTTTACAGCCCCGTCGTCTGTCTCGAGCACGTGCTCGAACTCCAAGGCGACTAGCGAGGAGATTAATGGCGTCAACTTCTGTGTGCTGGAGGACGACGACTGCGTCATCGCGTCTGCCATTGACTCGACGACCGGCAGTATGACTCAGGCGGATATCAACGACATCTCGAGCTCTAATGACGCAGCCGCATCCGCGGAGAGCACAAACTCGGACTCGTCGTCGATTTTCTCGGCTGAATCCATCGGAGTCATCGGTAGCACCTTTTTCCTTATCGGTATCCTCTTGAGCGCCTTAGTGTTCGGGTTCATATGGAACAAGCGGAGGAACAACGACGACAACCCGTCGCGTCGTGCTGCTATGAAAGTGAACCGCGACAGGCGCTTAGGAAGCAGCGGCGGCAACTTTATGGTGTTCACGAGCAGCGGGCGTATCACGCGCGCCGTCGGCAACAACCACGACGAATACCGCGACACGGACAGCAAAAACGACAACAACAGCACGTTCGGAGACAGTGGTGGGAAGACGCCGGGCGAGGCAGCGTGGGGCATGTACGAGAGTCCTCTGGACAAGTACAACCCTGTGGCTCTGCTCGAACCGAGCCCCAAGGACAGCAGCTTTCTCGGCGCCAGCACGGCGTCACTGCAGGTGCGCAGCAAGATCAAGAGCAAGATCAATCTGGACGACCTGCTCGTGTACGAGATCCCGCCCGAGGAGATTCAGATGCGGCGTGCGCTGCACATGTCGTCGTCTAAAAAGAGCAGTAAGGCGGCGTTGGCGTTGAGCAGCGTGGGCGTGGGCAATTCTCGCAAGGTGGATACGGCTCTGTTTCTGGCTGAATATCAGGGCTACAAGGTAGTGATCCAGGCGCTCATGCGCTCCAAGAAGCGTCTGGAGAAGCGCTTCGTGGAGCAGATCCGTTTGGCCGCAGCGTTGGACCACGCGTCTATCGTGCATTTTATCGGTGTTACCACTGGTTGCAGTACGACGGCCAGCCGTCGACGCGGTAGCAGTGCTGCCGCGCCAGTACAGGGGCCGTACAACAGCTACGGCCCGACCAACAGCATGAGCGAGAGCATGGCGTCCAAGAGCAGATATCCGAACATGGGCGCGCCGGCCTGGCATCTTGGTGTGGTGTTCGAGTACATGCAGCACGGTTCTCTGGCTGCAATGTTCGAGTCCGAACGCCATCGTCGCGAAGGCAAAGGCTTTTACCCAAACAGCAGCGTGGCGGCGGCGATCGGTAGCGGCAACGGCAACATCTTTAGCTGGTACCCGGTCTTCGCGAACTCGAGTGCGAGCGTGAACGCCAACCCGAACGCGGACTGGCGGTGTAAGCTGTCTATTGCTTTGGATGTGGCTATGGGACTGGTCTACCTTCACGCCAACAATTACGCGCACGGCCGTGTCTGCGCGCGCAAGGTGCTGGTGAATGAACAGGGCGAGGCTAAGCTGAGTGCGATGGACGTATTGCTGCCTTCGGATCTGGCGTCGCGTAAGGATGAGAACAACAACGCGACGGACGACTTCCGTGGCTCGCTGAGAGAGAGCGCTTTGTGGACGATGCAAAAGATCACGGGCATGCGCCCGACGCGTTCGTCTAAGGCCCTAAAGCAGCAAACGTCCGGGAACTTGGGCCGTAGCCGCTACGCGAACAACAGCGGAGAGAGCGACGTGAGCGGAGTGAGTGGTGTTAGCAGCGTCACGCTGGACGACAACCACAGCCAGAGCGGCGACAACCCGGCGTTCGACGAAGAGTCTGACGAGTTCGACGAGAACTCGCTCAAGTCGAGTGGCATCGGGTCTTCCATCGTGGCCGCCCAGCGCGACGACGTCTACGCTTTCGGCACGTTCCTATGGGAGCTGGACACAATGATCGCCGTTGAGGAAGACCTAGCCAGCTCAAGAGTTCCGGCCGGCGCCGGCGGCAACCCGCACCTGCTCAAGTTCTCGGCCGACTGTCCGATGGAGCTGCAGGAGCTGGCTCGACAGTGCTGGCATGAGGTGCCGAGCGAGCGTCCGGACGCCATCGACGTGCAGGAGGAGCTGGTCCGTGTGCTGGAAGGCCGGCTCACTGTGAGTGGTCAGGCCCCGCCCAACTGGACGCGACCCAGCTACCTGAGCGCCACCAGCGCACTGAGCAGTCTTTCAAGCTCCGAGTTGTCATCCAATATGTCATCACTGCCGAGCTCGTGCTCTGTGATGGCCGTGTCCGTGGCCGACCTATGAGAAGGGCCTTTGATGTATTTATTCGCTTCCCAGACGTTGGAGCACAATTTTGTCAGCAAGTTCCAAGTGTGTCTTCGTGTGTGAACCGCGAATCATCGTCACTCGGAGAACGGTTAGCGTTCCCGAGTATCGCAATTGCTATGCAGATTGCCTGCAGCTTCGAGGAGTCCCCGAGCGGAAGGGAAGGAAGCTGTCGAGCGTCCAGCATAGACTTTAGAAAACATATAAAACACCGTTACAAGTGAGTGACTTCAACTCGGTACATGTGTCCTTTATCCGTGTCGGCAGCTCGTCGCCACATCAACACGTCGGACAGACAGAGCAACGCTGGCGTCAAGGTTTCCCTTTGCGTGCGCCCTGCACGTACAGCTCTTTGGTTTGCTTTGAGCCGCATTGTTGATCCGTACGATGACGGCGGCGGCGACGTACGGACACCTGAATGCGTTGGTAAGGCAAGTCGAAGCTATCAGCTGGTCGCGGGTAACCTGCGTACGTCTTTCGATTTGCAAGTCTTTGGGCCTGTTCACACGCTCTCGGAACCAGAATCTCTCGCCGACTTTTGGGAGCCAATCTGTCACTCAGGAAGGGCAGCAACGGGCACAGCATCAGGTCCATTTCGACCACCATGGAGTCATGAACTACAGCGAAAGTCTCCGATGCGAATGCTCGGATGAAAAAAAAAACACTCGTAGCTTTCTTTCACTGCACCGCTAACTGCCGGCCGTTCATGCAGCTCAAATGGCCGGAGCTCAACTGGCACTGGAGCTTATGAACCTTTAGTGCTCGGTGGCGGGTGTGGCATCGAGCTTTCCAGTTCAGGATCCGACAACGCGGCGAGCACGCATACCAGCTGGCGTACCCTGTCATCTACAACTGGTCTCTGGCCCATACAAAGTTGCAGTGCGGGTCATGACAGTCTTCTCCATTTGGCGGCTCGCTCTCTCTGCTTCTTGGCAGGCTCTTATCCCCCAGTCTCAATTGAACTAACCGCGGGCTATTTCGGCCTGTGCATCGGTCGGCGACCATTTTCCAGACGCTGCTCCGTTCCGTCGACGGCGGCAAGGCCTCCAACACCTCACGCGGCATGCGGCGCGGAGCTCCCACGCCGCACGACAGCGTGGGGCCCCGACCCACCTACGGCGCGGCCACTACGCCCCGCTCACAACGATCCGCGGCCACCACGCCACGTTCCCAGCGCTCCGGTTCGGCCGGCCACGGCACTATCCTCGTTAACCTCGACGGTATGCTATGCTACGCTAGAAGCTACGTTACGTCAGACTAACCCGCCGTTATGTTGCTATTGCAGTGTTCATCCACCGCGCCAACATCGGCCGCGACATCAGCCCGAACGACGAGGACCTGATCGTGCTCTTTCGTCGCAACAGCAAGGAAGTCACGTCCGAACCGGCGCGCTGGAGTGCCGAACACTGTGCCGTTTGGAACCAGCACGTCGGTATCCAGACGTCGCTGCTTAAACACAAGAAGTCTCAGCAGGGCGGCGGCGCGACAGCCACCGAATTCCTTAAGAAGGAGTACGAAATCGTGCTCGTTGCGGTGAGTTTTGTCATCTCCTTGCGACCGGGCCATCCTCTTCCACAACCACGCGGCCATCTGACGACGTGCCATTACAACTGTCGCCAGCCGCCAGTTGGTCTATGAGGCTAGTGGAGACTTGGCCCGGACGCCCCGAAATAGGCTGTGACCAGCGCTTCTGACTCTCTCTGTGCCTTGCGTTGCACCCATGTATAGCTGCCCAGCCATTCCGCTGTCGCACTCTTCTCGCTGGACTTCGCCACGCTCGTACAACTGAACGCCAGCCCACAGGACCGGCACAAGTCCTTCCGCATCTCGCCTCTTAAGTGTCGAGACTTGGCAGCCTCGCTCGAGTTCGACATCACGTGGGACCTGGTCCAATCCCCCGGTAGCTCGCAGGCCAATACCGCGGCCAACATGATGATGCATTCCAGTACCAACCCGCACGCGTCCGGGTTGGCCGGCTTGCCGCCATCCTCTACACTGCTCAATAAGAGCTCACAGGGTCCTAAAGCGCAGACACCGAAGGCTCAGACGCCGCGCTCTCGAGAAACATCCAAGTCTCGGCGCGCCGCAAATGAGACGTCGTCCGTGTCGACGCGCCGGACAACGGCCAGTCTCAGTTCGGCTGGTAGCGAGCGCGACCTGCTGGAGGAGCTGTCGTCATCCAACTGTAACAATTGCCGCTCTGCCAAGCGCAGACTCGATCGCAAGGAGGTACAGGTGCTGCAGCTCGAGTCGTTCTTGAAGGAGTCGCAGAAGCGCATTGACGCGCTGTCTGCGGAGAACGAGGAATTGATTATTCGTGAAAAGGCCGAGACGCGCAACGCTGCACAACAGCGTGCGCTGACGTTGCGTCTTCTACAGGAGCTGGAAGCGGCCGTGCAGCTGTGCAACAACCAGATGCAGGTACAGGACATGACGTTGCTGCCTCAGGTGGAGCTGATCGAGCGCGTGAAAAAGCTGCACGAGGAGGCCGACCCGTTGCACGGCCACTCGGAAGACTCTCGTCCTTCACACACGTCACAAACGTCCACCTTCGACTTCCGAGCCGAGACAGAGGCAGCGTTGCAACGCAACCAGCGGCTACAGCAACAGCTTGAGTTCCTGGGCCGCTCGATGGACTACGACAGCGAGACAGTTGAGGGCGTCACCCGGTCGCATCGTGCAGCTACGGACACGTCGGGCACCACGATCTCGTCTGCGCGTAGCGGCAGCGTCACGGTGGACTGCGAACCTCGTCCGGTGGCGTTGACAATGACACAGCAACTCAATAATCTCGAGCGTGAGAACTTCAAGCTGCGCGCCGAGCTCGAGGGCGCGTTGGCCAATGCCGCCAGCGCTCTGAAGAAGCACTCGGGCGGGTTCCCGTCTGGTTTAACGAACGGTCTGTCGCTCACTGCTGAAGTCTCGGAGACGACGAGCTCGTCTAGCCGTGAGGACATCGAGGAGCCAGAGAACGAGGACGCAGCGCTACTGTCGCGAATCCGCGAGCAGCACGAGCTTGAAGCCGGACGTTCAGCTGCATTAGAGTCGGAGCTGGACAAGGCCAAGAGCGAGATTGAACAACTCAAGGAGCAGCTCGAAGCAGCGCAGAACGGACGACCGTCCAAGGAGGAGAAGGAGCCGTCGCAGGCGCCTGGTTTCTTGGACAAGATCTACGCTGACGTGGGTAAGGCCAAGTTGGTGCTAGAAGACCGTGTCAAGCAACTAGATGAGATGCTGGCTAGTGCGACGGAAGAAAACGGCCGTCTTCGCAGCCAGATCGAGGAGCTCCAGAAGCAGAAGAACGGCAGTCAGGACCAAGCTACAACTGCCGAGATGGAGGTGCATATTGCCGAACTGGAAAGGCTACTGGAACAGCGAGAGGAGGAGATGAAAGCGAAAGAAGGAGAACTGGCGAGAACCAAGAGACAGCTTCAGGATGCCGAGACGCGAGCTCGTGCAGGCGAGAGCGTTAAAATTGAGCTCGAGAGTGAGCTTGCGGGTGTGCGTCTGTCACTCAAAATGGCACAGGAGGCAACTGCGCAGCTGGAGAACCAGTTGGCTATGATGTCTTCTAGCGCTGCCCCCGGGACGACAACGTCCACGTCGTTCGTATCTCACAAATCGGCCGCGAGTGACGCTACTGGACACAACGATGAGTTAGCAGAGGTACAGAAGCAGTTGAAGCTGTCCAAGCAGGAAGTGATGCAGCTCCGTTTCCGCAGTAACCAGCTTGAGAGCGTTCACGAACGTCTGGAAGACGCACTCAAGGAGAAACGCACACTGGAGGTGAAGCTGACAGCGCTGGAGGGCCAGCTCTTTGAGCAGCGGAGTCGCACGATTAACACGGACAACAGCAGCTTCACTGCTCCGTCACTGGACGCCAAGAGCTCAGCGATGCTGACGGACATGCAGCGCGAGCTGGACCAGAAGTCCGCTCAGCTCATGATCGCAGAGCGTGAGGTGGAACATCTGCGCGGCCAACTGGCCGACCAAGGCGTCGAGATCACCAGCCCTGACAACATCGACGACGTGACCGATAAGGTGAAACAGTTCGAGAACGAGATCGCGCGTCTGTGCCAGCGCAACGACGATCAGGCCAGGAAACTGGAGAAGCTCGGAGCGCGCGTGACAGTCGCCGTTCGCGAGCGCGACGAGCTGGAAGTGATCGTACAGCAGATGGTGACGGAGATGTCGCTGCTGGGCAAGGACGTGAAGCTTCCTCGCACTCACCGCACGCCGTCGATCCCGGAAGCCGACGAGATGGAGGAGAAGTCACCGTCGTCGATGCCGCGCCGTCCGCCGCCGGTGCAGACGGGCAAGATTACCGACCGGTACGCGAACGCCGTGGCGTCCAGCTCCAGCGCGTCTCACACGCCCAGCTCTTCTGCACCAGGCGTGACCAGCAGCAAGGTGGCGCAGCTCATGAAGAACTTCTCTGCTCAGAGCAGCGACGACGGCAGTCCTGGCGTGTCGCCGAGCGGCGTGGCTTTCAAGAAGCCCACGAAGCTGGACTTCCGCAACCGCAAGGCGTCAAATACCAGTCACCGCAGTAACGACGGCTAAACCCCCTTAATTATTAGATGTGAAAGCAGTAAAGCAAAGAGGAGAGAGAGGAGATAAACTACGTTAACCGTAATCAAAGTTCAAGTTGAAGTGACATGCGACTAGCGAACTTTTCATCAGTCGTACAGCAGATACTTAGATCCACGTATTTTGTGGTAGATTCCCTGGACGGAGGATATGATACGGCTGCGTCTCGTGTTCCTCGTTGGCCACGATAAACTCGTCTATGGCTTGCAACTCTGCATCGTACGCTCGGATCGCCGGCTGTAGCCTCGGGTCGTCGATGAACGGGGACACGTGATACACCGACTTCAGCGTCGTCTCCTCCGGTCGAGGACGATTGAACAGTGCGCTGAGGAAAATCATGGACGGGAAGAGCTCGCGCGGCTGCAAGTAGCTAAACACGTCGATCTTCGGATGACCGTCACGCTCCTTGCGACTCGGCAGCGGCTTCCAGAGCGCAGCGGCACTGTACGGCATGGCCACGGTCGTCCACGTCACTTCTCCGTTCATGGCGTGGTGCTTGACGACGCTCTGATAGATGAGTCGTGTCAGGAGTTTATGTAGTACTTGCTTGTCTTTGAACACCGCTGGGAACGCGTGTAGATGAGGGATCTTAGCACACGCGACAGCCCATTGCTGCAGCTCCACGTCCGTCTTCACAGCGTCGTCGTCCGCATAGTAAACGTCTAGAAAACTGCCAACAAATGTGGAGATGGCGTCAGCGTGCAGTTTCCCGTACGCCACGTACTTGTGTGGCAGTTGCTGGATGCCTCTCTCCTTCGCGTCGCTGTACACGTCGTCCAGCAACGAGATGCGCGTGCGCTGGTCCTCTAACAAGCGCACGCACCCTGCCGCTCCGATCCCAAACGTCCGATCTAGCGGTGTGGACGTGTTAAAGAGCACAACGCCAGCTTGTTGCTCCAGTCCAAAGTCCAGAGCAAAGTGACGCATTAACAGAGCGCGGACGGGGTGTTTCTCTGCGAAGGTTCGATACAGCTCTACTCGGATGGGGATCGACAGCGTATGGCTCTCGGAGAAGTGCTGCATCTGCTGGAACGTGGCCTCGGCGGCATTTAGCGCCGTTTTGGCCAGTTGCCACTCGTCCGGAGAGTCGAACGGCGTGTATGTGATGTCTGAGTCTACGAGTTTAATAGCCAAAGGTAGGAGCTGCTCATTGAAGCAGAAGTAGCCGATCACAGACGGCAGATACTTCCCGGCCTCAGTCTCGATGTCGCTCTCGACTTTAGACACGGACGGGTCTCCCCATTGTCCGATAGTGGATAAATCGACTACGAACAGCTTCTTATCGACCCGTAGCGACCGAATTGAAGCTCCAGATCCGCAGATTTTCTCGATGTTCTCAATAGTGAGCGTCTCGTCCAGTGGGTCGTCGTCGGTCTCTCTTATGGCTCTCAAGTTGAAGCCGCGTAGACTCAATCGAGAGACACCGAAGCCGACGTCCCCATGGTCGACAGAGTCTGCGGGGGCGTCTACAATGGGGTGGAACAGTTCGTAGAAGCGCGTGTAGGCTTCCGTTGAGTTAAGTTGCGGTAACCAACGCATGGCCAGAGCCGCCATAAGCTCGGGTGTGTCTGGTTTCAATGCACTGAGCTCCATAAGATCCTGAGTCTGCAGCTTTTCAAAGACGGACCCTGACCGAGCTACTGGACCCATGTAAACCGGTAGATCTTGGCCGTCGATGGGCCATGAGCGCTCCTCGTTCTTGAGGTTGGTGGCCATGTACGCGATCTCAGCGGCGCGGTCGACGGTGTGGACGACACTTAACGAGAAGGCAAAAGACTCGTTGGAAGTCCAAGCTGAAGTGGACGTAAGGTTGGCAGTACAGATGTCCGAGAGTTCGTTGGATGGCAAGAGAATTTGCTGAGAATTGAAGTAGAACCAGCTCTGGGTGAGTGTGGCTGCGACGCCGACAGCTCCAAGGAAGAACTTCATCGGTAGTGCTGGTTGAAGGCTGTACTCGCGAAACTGGTAGATTGGAGAATGAGTAATGCATTGAGATGCAACATTAAGTTGCCGTGTCTTGCATCATCGGAGGCGAAAAACTACATGCCATATAGGGATACCTTGCATCATCGATGCTGGATGTCGAAATGTAAGTTTGTTATTAATTCCCAGCAATGTATTCACACCTTGCTCGACTGCATAACTTCGGGGCCTGATGTAACTAGCCATTCACTTCACACCACAAAAAATGCATTCGAAATAGTGCTGACCAGAATTTCGGTTGGAAGCCCAAAAGATTGCGTTGCTCGCCAACGTTCCTTACCATCTCAAAAGACGAATGCGTTACCACGTTGATTGCGTGCAAGTGAAGATCTTGCGCATCGAATTTAAGGATGTTTACCGTATGACAAATATCATATCCAACACTCGTATTATATGATATTTGTGTTCCCATTCAAATACAATAATCAAATTCTTAATAATTCTGAAAGGTATATAAAGGACGAAACGCATGACTATTGTGCTACGTTTCCTTTCGTTAGATCAATAATACTACAATTACTTTGACGACTTCATGGCACTTGTCTATGATTGGCTAAGATCAAATAGCGGATATGACAATTGAGTACAGGAAGACTTTGTGCAGTTATATTTAAGGCTTGTTCACTTTACATCGTATGTCGCCCGTCAATTTATCCTTGACCTGCAGGTATTTCTCATAGATCTTGTTGCGGAGGCACTGATGCAAGATGCTGATTTTGACGATCTTGGCCAATCTGAGGGGTTTCTTACCCAAGAACGCTCTCGACACTGAAGAATTGACGGAGTAATCTTCGTAGCGGAGCTGTCGAGATGCACCAGCTTTTTCGGTGAGTGCGACCAAAGCGATCGACTATTGAGTGACTACCATCTTCTAGCTATAACGAGCACATTTTTTGTGGATTTCATCTGGAACAAAGAGGTCGCTTTATACACTCAAATCCTCAATAGATCTACAGAATCGCGCTCATTCCTGATTCTAGCTTTGTAGCCTAAAGCCATGAGTGACGGTGACCTCAATCTTACATATAAGCCCTGAATAGAGGACGATGTCGCAAACCAGGTCTTAAATTGCAATAGCCACGACAGTGACTGCTGCCGGTAGTGTTTCTCGCAAGCATGGTATCCACGATACGAACCCTCAGTTTCCACATATTGGTGCCGGTTAAAGCGTTCCTAAAATCAGCTTTAAAATGTTCTAATTGTTAAAAAATAAACTTGATTTTTAATGTTGTCAGTTAATCATCCCGTCAGTACATTTGCTCTATGTGTCTGTGGCACAGACTCTGTGCCAGTGCAAACATGTAGACCTCAAGATCTACTACGTTATCAAACATCCAATGCTGGTAACCAGCCGCGGTTCGCTTCGTTCGCAGTAAAAAGATAGAATGTCCTGTACTGGAAAGTACGATACTCGACTCGCTGATGAGCTCGGCGCTAGGCCCGCTTCCGCAAATACCGTGCGGCCATGCTTCGCGGGCACCCGCACGAGTTTGCTGCGGCTACGCGCACGCGCACACGCACACCTCCGCTGGAAGGCCGAAATCGCGGCAGTTATTAGTATTGTATATAACTTATATCAGTGCAATTAATTAGTGCATTTTTAGAGCTGTTTTAGGAACTTTTTTTTTCTGACCCCACCTTTTCCCCTTAACAGATCTATCGGAATTTTTCTAACATCGGGAAAATATTCGGTTCAAATCGATCAAATGCCATACGTAGCCATTTTGGATTTGGGTGATGCTTTCACGCATACATGATTGGCATGTGGTGCAGAGTTTTCTTCAGTGTTCATTCCAACATCTACAGAGATTCACACACCAATGATGATATTAGAGGTCTTTAGCACAACCGAAAAGTACTTCATTTCGGAACAACCATCTGCTTTAACCCACCACAATCTGAAATTTCGACCGTTAACTTAAATCGGAACCGGAAAGAAGAGCAGTTTATTACGGTTACAGATCTAAATTTTACGGTATCTATGCCGCGGCTAAACTTCTATACCAGACGACCTAACTGTTAGGTTCGAAGGGCAATTCTGATTCTCCTCTGCGGCCTGCACCAAGACAATACAATGCCTTCATCGTCTGAAGCAGCCCTGGCCGATTCCGTGGTCACGTCGTTCATCCGATTAGTCACTCGTGGCGTCCCTCGTCACTACAAAACAGCCTACTTACTGCAGCGACTGCAACTTGCTCGGGAAGAAGATCTCTACGTTGAAGCAGCGATGATTCATGCAGAATTGGTATGCCAACCAGCCCCTTCAAAACAACTACGAGTACCATTCAACTTCAATGCCTTATCCGACTCGGTGTGCAAACGGCGCTTTCGATTCCACAAGTCGGAGTTGTGTACACTTGTAAAACTGATGAATATTGGTGATATCGTTACTCGCGAGAGGACAAGAGCTACTGGTATTGAGGCTCTTTGTGTAGTTCTGTACAAGTTAGCAGCTCCTGTACGTTGGGAGGATGTGCGAGATTTTTTCGGGCGATCACCTAGCGGTCTGTCGAACATATTTCTCCACCTACTTGACATACTGGAAGCTCAATATGCCAATCTACTTCTGCTGAATCATGAAATTGCTGCGTCTCGACTCTCTGAATACGCACGGGCTGTTTTCGATGTCGGTAGTCCATACACAAATATCTGGGCATTCATTGACGGTACTGTAAGAGGTATATGTCGGCCTACGCCTCGTCGACACGGTCATCGAGGGCGAAAGAAAAACAAACTTCTGGACCAGCAGTCTGTATACAATGGACACAAGCGTAAACACGCACTGAAGTTTCAAACTCTAGTCACTCCTGATGGGTTAATTTCACATCTATATGGCCCGTACCCTGGAAGAAATCACGACGTCAAAATGTATCGTGAATCCGACCTAAGTACAATTATTCGAAACGATTTACGCTGTCGAGAGTTTCGAATTTTTGGGGACTGCGCCTACGGACGTGATGATGTACTAATAAGCCCATTCGAAGGAGCGATTGGAAATTTAACGTGTGAACAGCGGCATATCAACTCTGCTATGAGTAAGATCCGTGTTTCCGTGGAGTGGTCCTACGCTCAAATCGTGAACTATTGGAAAGCTTTGGATATGAAGTCAAGTTTAAGAACAGGCTCACAGCCAGTAGGTCAGATGTATCGAGTTGGTGTATTGATGACAAATTGCATCACATGCATGAGAGGTGGAAGTACAGCTAGTGACTACTTCGGTGTGTCTCCTCCAGATATACATCATTATCTTGGGTCGGCATCTTAGTGATCACTTCTTAGCCAAAGCAGCCCCAAAAATCTTAGCGCACTCCAATATCATCTCCCGATTGCTTTGTTGAATATGTTGCTCAAATTGAAGTCTGTCTTCAGCTTGTTTCTTCTCAAATTCCAGCCTTTCTTCAAATTGTTTTTGTCCCTGCTCGAGCTCACGGTGCTTTAAATCCAATTGCTCTTTGTACTTCTTGTCTTGTCTTTTGATTTCCGTCAAGTACGCGTTCGAGCGCTTAACCCCTTGTTGTTTCGCCTTGCTAGAACCGGTATATACTGTGCTTTCAGCCCCCGACACAACACTTTGAGCGTCACTGGAGTCATCAGAGTCACTGTAGAAAGAGGTATCGTCGCGGTAGGCTCGACGACGACGGCTTTCGTCAACTATAGCAGCAGCGCACTTAGCCAGATCTTCCTCCTTCTTTTCTTTAGAAATTTTCTGAGCTGCTTTAGTATCATGGTGGAGCCGTTCAAGCTGCGTATACTCCCGGATCAACCCATCAACGTCTGTGTAGTGTGTCTGGACGTTAACCGCGTGGATGGACTCTTCAACACCACTTGCCAGCGCCGATAGCTGCTCCTTTTCCTTGAAGCGAGTTTTTAGTAGATTTAACCTGTCGCGGATCTGCTTCACTTTTATCTCCTTTTTCAAGGCGGAGCCTAAAGCTGCAGCAACACTATCCCAGATCTCCAGTGTCGAACCGCGCTTCGCAGCAAATGGCTTCTGACGAATCAGCTCCCGCAGCATCTCCAGATCTTCCATCGTAGTGAACCGGAACACCATCTTGTGAAATACGCAGCTCTGCCGTATGTGTGGAAAAATGAGTTATTTCTTGGCTGAAGGGTGATGCTATCTTTAGCATCTTCAGCATCTGGCACAAACCGAACTAAAATAAAGTAGCTAAACACGTTTTTCGTATTATCCGGTTGCCTGAACTTTCGATCGAAAACAGAACAAACTGTAAGATTGCTAAAGACCTCTATTATCTACTGCCGCCAAGGTCTTCGCGCTTCTCGCTCTGCTGATTCTTGACGCAACGTGTGCCGACCCAAGTTCATCTCGGCAGCTTCGTATCGAGCACTCAGAAGACAGATTTGACACGCCGCCAGCTAGGGAACTGCAAGGGAAGTTCGGATGGACAGGATGGCTGGCAATTGCCAAAACCAACTTGCGATTTCAGCCTACTGACAAGCTGTTCGACTATCTCCGGCAGATCAAGGAGAAGTTGCAACGTTCAGATGGGTAGAAAGCACAATATCAAGAAATTCACGTTTTTTTTTACAATCATGTCATTTCTACAAACGCCTCAAGAACTTCCATCGGTTCCGTCAACTTTACAATACTACTAATTAATCTAATTCCAAGATGGATGTACTGGTGTTTGAGCGCACAAACTGCTGGTGTCGGTACCGCGTATTGGCATTCATCTGACTCGTGAACTGGTACACGGATTCAGACTTCATCTGAAGCTCCTGCATTCTCCGTACCAGATCTGCTTGCGAGCTTCCCATGTTAGCTGATCGTTGAGGCGCGTATGTGTATGTGATCTCGGGGTCTTCATTAGTATATTGAGGTTGGTGCTGCTGACGAGGCTGGTACGGGGTCAGCTCGGAGCTCGAATCCTCTTGGCCGCTGTCTCGGTCTCTTGGAGACGGCAGTGTAGACGCAAACGAGCTGACAGACGATTCGAGCTTAGAACGAACCGAGGAATCCGAAAAGTTCGACTTGCCGCTATCCATCCTACTAACCAGCTTGGGCTTGACGACGTCATCGAGTTGTGTGTCCTCACGTCCTCGATGCTTGTTAGTGTCGGTACCTGGAGCCCAAAAGCGCATCTGGGTTGATGTATCTCGATCAGAGTCTGAAAGCGAACTCCTGGCTTGCTGTACTGACGTCTGAATGCCACCCACAGGGGCAGTCCGAGCCATTTCAGTGTGATCATAGCCAGCTTCGACCTCCCGTCGAGCCATGACACGAGCGTCCATGTGACTGGCGTTCATCTTACAATTCTTGCAAAGTACCGTAGTCAGACACCGCACCTGGGTGCTGGGTTGTCCCTCGTCCCAGCTCCTACTCTGAGTGATACTAGTCGCTGTATCTCGCCGCTTTACAAAGCTGAGATCGCGACTTACACGGCACCTTGAGCACATTTTAACCTGGCACAGATTGCACGACGCCACGCTGCTTAAAACACCGAACTTGCGCTCACAAATACCGCAGCGGTTCGACGAGGTCTTTGCCTCTGGCTGCATACGTCGGAACTCGGCTGCAGCGCCCTTAAAGTGCAGCAGCCAGCTCAGCTTCTTGCTTTGTCCACAAGTCGCTGCCTCCGTTACTCCAGCCAGCATCATGGTTGTCATCATACCAGCTGCCTGGTAGTCTTGCATCTTGCCTTTAAAGTCCACATAACCTCGAGAGAACACATCGATCTGCGCAGTTTTCTTAGCTGGAGTAAACACCGAACAGGTCGACAACCAGCCTCTAGTGAGTCCTTGACTCTCCAGCTCTCCACACTCTTCCATCTCCACGGACTGACACAGATGGTAGCCGATCTCCTGGGTCTCTGAAGCTCCTGGAACTCTGTGCTGCACTGTACCTGAGGCCACCAGGAGCACGAAATCACGAGGGCGACGAGAGCTTGACTTGACTCTAGATGCTTCACCACGCACAAGCCATTGGATGCCTAAGAACCGGAAAGGCTTCTCTGAACTAGGTGTTTGAATGCAACTAATCATGGCTGTGTCAAGCACCTCGGCGTCCGTCATGTAGCGTAACCGGAGCTGTAACTCGGCTGTATCGGTCGCTATGAGCCCGTACAAAACGTCGTTGAGACTGCCATCGATGTGTCCCGTGACCGCTACCGAGGCAATCGAAGATGAACCAGTGACTGCTGCAGACGACGCCGTATGTGCCATTTCAGGCGTGTACGCAGCCATCGCCACTGCCTTCGTCGGTCGCTCTGTCACTGAAGTGGCCGAGTGGTCAGAGGCTGAAGAAACTGAAGTCTTACTAGCTCGATTCGTGATGGGGTTCAGCTCTGGATGCGTCGGTTGTCGCTCCTTGTACACATGGAGACCTTCGTGGGTCTTGAGCGGCTTCCACTGCCACTTGTCCTGCAGTGGGTTCTTACCCTTGTTGCATTCAACTACGTGTGTGTTGTATTCCCGAAGTGTATCGTCCAGGAGCTGCCGGGCTTGGCATTCGTATCGATGCGCTTGCTCCGACGTTATGTGGACGGTGGCGAACGGGGTCACACCTTTCATTCCGGCGGTTAAGCGAGACTATCGCTCTGCCAATCGTAAAGTGGGTCGGACGTTATATAGTGCGCAGATCTGGAGCTCAAGAGGGAGAGCAGAATGTACCCTGTTCGGATGCATATCGTCGCCTTTAGCTCGGATAAGAACGCATGTTACCGCGGGCATGGGGAGCCATGAACAGCAGGCGTGTGGATCACTTGGTCAATATTAGTTCAATGTATACTCGCACTTGCACAGCTGATCATTTGCTTCAACATACCAGTGTTGCTGTGTGTGAGTAGCGTCTGGAAGACGACAAATGTGCGCATGGTATGCCGATGTAAACAACTTGAGATTTGTGGTGCTGTCTAACGCATCCACGAACGACGTCTCCAGCTGCTGCGTTTCCTAATGACTTGAGAAGGATCGGCTCGCAACGCTTTAGCAAAGTGTCGCTGCTGTACAGGGCGTCCGAACTGGTGGAAGTCGTTCTTGATTGCGATCATGACACCAACGTAAAACTTTATGCCCCAGGCTTTAGTATTGATTATCTACATTGTCGTGAAATCAATACATGCCAGGATAACGAGTTCCGTTTCATTTGAATTGATGTTATCTAGATCTTGATTGCAGCAGCTTACTTGTCTCTGACAACAGGACTGGTCTAGTCCATTATCTATAAGGCTTGCCATCGAGGAAATACGAATATTTTGTCAGAAGCGTCATTCGGTCATTGTTAGTCATGTCCCTGAGCATGTTCCGAGTGGGAACCAATTCAATTCCTTGTTTAGCCCAGTACGCAAACGTTTTGTCCATATAGTTCCTGTCGCTCAGCATTTTGTGCACGAAGTCGTCGGTGAATGTCTTTCCGTCCTCCGCAATAATCTTGATCCGATGTGACTGGGTCCAAGGTAGAATTTTCTTTAGAGACTCGTACCCTCTCTCTTCGCTTGTCTCGGCAGTCCTTAGAAGCCGTCTACTTGCGATTTCATTTTGTCCGACAGCAGTGGGTTGGATATTGGCCGCCAAGGACACCTGAGTGTGCATCGACTCGGCCGCCGGGATAGCATTGCAGCTTACCGAGCCAACTACTGCAACCGCCAGCATGAGGATACCCTGACGCATTGTTGGGTTGTAGACTCGCTCAAAGATCTGGATAGCTTGGGCGCTGGAATGCGAATGGCAAAGTGAGCGATGACCAAACGGCGTTAAACGAATTCGATGGCCTACAAGGTTTTTGTCGGACAAAGCTTGTAGCCTACAATTGTTGGTGATCGTTAGTTGAGCTGCCCTTGAGCAACGCGATTGATGTGAAGTTTACGCAGGATCTGTGGTCCCATCTGCTTATCGCTCATAGGATACCAGTCTTTGTCGTGCTTCGAAGTCCTTGAAGTACAGTCGTGCCACGGGTATTCGCCAGGTTGAACCTTATCCGATCTTAAAACAATAAGACTTGCGAATAATATTTGTAATTCCTTTACAAGTCCAATAGTTAAACATTATAGGTTAAAAAAAGTTAGTGTGGCGAATATGTGGAGCACGACTGTATTGAACAATATCTCGCTTTGTTTACAAACGTATCTGAATCCGCACTACAAGTAACACAATACACTTCGAAGTACGGAGCGTTCTGAAGTGATCTGCCCCCACTTTCAGGTACTACTACATGTATAACGTGTCTGTGTTTAGCCCTGCACGCCGAGCTTTGATCGACCAGCACCGATCGGTCCAAGAATCCGTTGGCTGTCGGTAGGAAACTTTCGCTACCCCGCCGGTGTGTATCGTACTGACACACGACTTATTTGTATTTCTGTCTCTGTTCTGTCCAATGTAGTCTGCAACTAGTTAGCTAGGCTAGTCGATGGAGCTACCGTTCGTTCGTCCGTCAGTTCGTTCCGTTCGTCCGTCGCCGTCCAGTTCCAGTCGTCTCTTGGCTACCACTTGGACTCAGCACCTCGGGTACGTCGCCCTACTCAACGCAGCCGCCAAGGAGCACGAAGACCGTTGCCTTCTACTCGTCCTGTCCGTCGTTCGTCCGTTCCAAAGAGTCACAGTACTCGTCCACCGTCGTGTCCGAGGACCAGTCCTCCACCGTTCGTCCGTCTGTCCGCTGTTCGTCCGCTATCCGTCGTTGTGCGGGATCCTGTCGAGTCCCGGTCGTTCTTGGTCGCGTTTGGTGCTGGTGACCTCGTCCGTGCTCCACCTGCCCCGATGCCGCCCAATTCGCAAGTGAAACCTGCTGGGTTTCGTCCCAGTGAAATTCGAAGCTCTCACCACCCGTCAGTCTCCTGGTTTCGTCTGGCGTGGCGGTCTTGGGTCACCCATCAGCTGCTTCGGGGTGGTCCTCCCTGGGTTCACTCGCTTCCGTGGAATGGCACCCATGCCCACTTCAATACCCGGCAACGCTTCACCTGTATCAGCACACTGAGCCCCATTACACGACTTCCTCTCTCCAAGGGTCTTCCCACGACCCGTCCGGCGCTGTAGAGTTGCTCGTACTCGGCAATCGAAACCCATCGGCTCCCTGGTCGCCCGTCCTTAGCTGTCCATTGTCCGCTATCGCCTGTCGTCCACCGCTCAACGTCTCCTGCTGGGAAGAGCTCGTACTCCAACGCATACTGGTCCGCTCTGTTACGTCTACGACGTCGTCGTCGTCGCTCCACCAAAAGCCCACTCGCTCCGTCATCGTCCGTCGTACTTCCTACTGCTCCCTGATTCCGTTTTGTGCCTCTATCAGTCGGCAGTCGCCCAGTAGCTGTCGTCGCTGTTCGTACAACCGCTGTTGGCGTCTCTTCATGCTGTTCGTCGCGTTCCTCGCGTAGCTGCTCGTCAATGTCGTTCCCGACTTGAGAAAGAGGACTATTGGGCTCGTAATAGCTTGTCAAGAAAGAAATGTGTGCGATGAGTGTTTCCGCCTGGCCCATTTCGTCTTCTCGTTTCAACAGGTAGTTCTCGTATCAGGCTGGCTCCAAAATTTGTAGAGGTCCCATCCACTGGTGCACGAACTTGGTCGCTCACGGTCATCGCGGTGGTTGGTATAACCAAACTCTGTCGCCAACCTTAAATTCACGCCGCTTCCGTGTGTTCCGGTTATAGAATTTTGCTTGACGTGTTCGCGCGATTTCGGCACACCGTCTGCTCCGTTCTAACGCCTCGAGTAACCGCTCGTGGTACTCTGACAATTCTCCCGCTTCAGTCACTTCAGTCCGCTGTAGGAGTTCCAGGGGGGCTTGCAACTTACGTCCCATCATTAGTTTGTTAGGCGACAGCTTCACCGTTGAGTGCTGCGCTGAATTGCACGCACATGCTGCGAACTTTACCCACAAGTTCCAGTCCTTCTGCGTCTCGTCTTGCATGAACACAGCGACGCAGTCTTTCCAGATCCAATGGAAACGTTCTACCAAGCCAATCATCTGGGGCCTGTACGGTACCGGGTTGATTTGCTTCGCCTGCAACATGTTAACCAACTCGTCGATCACATTGCCGGTCAGCTCTGGGGCTCCATCAATTAGTAGTTCGCGGAATACTCCAAACTTCAGCACGACCTCTTCCATAAAGAACTTCGCGATATCTTCAGCTGTATGTTGGCCTACACAGCACGCCACGGCGTAACGCGTAGCATATTCCAAAGCTGCCACTACGTATCGTTCACCGCCATTTGCCACAGGGAAAGGCCCAGCAACGTCGAATGCCCAGCGATCGCCAACATCGCCCCCTCGTATACTGCGCAGGGGTGGGATGACCTCTCGCGGTTGTGCCTTTCTACGTCCGCACTCTGGACAACCACGTACCCATCGGTTCACTTCGCGCTGTAATTTAGGCCACCAGTACAGGTGCGCTACCCGTCCGTAGGTGTGTGGTCCTCGTAGGTGGCCAGACCAAATGGAACCACGCATCTCTTTGAACACCGGGGCCCACATCGTCGGTGGTAGTAGAACCCGCCATCCAATTTTCGTATTGATTACCGCCAATCCGAACTTCACCTTCACCTGCATGCCGCGATAGGTGCCTTCGTCTAGTACTCTTTTCACGAACTTGCTCGCGCTCTGGGCGGCAATAATCTCCTCATCGCTCAACTGGAGCGTCCCGTCCGTCGGCACGTCGTTCTCGCCTTCCAGTTCGTCCGTAGTCACTGCAGTCGGTATCATTACTGGGGCCGTGTTCGCGTCTGTTCGTCGACTAGTGTTCGTCGTCGTAGTCATCGGCGGTCTCGTCAGCACTCGCGCGGTCGGTGTCGTCGCATCTTCTGGGACCGTTATGCCATCCACTTCGCTAATCCCAACGCCGCTGTTCGTCGCCTGTGTTTGTGAACGAACTTCGGGTTCTCGCACTGTCACCCTTCGTGCTGTTCGAGCCGTTGTCGTCGTCATCATCGTTGCTTGGTCGTCGGCAGGTTGTACAGGTGCAATGTCTGCCGTCACAGTACCGATTCGTCGCCCGCCGTCCTTGTGTCTGCTGCGTCTCGTGCTGTCAGCCTTGTGCCGAAACTTGTCCGTTCCGCTGGTGGTGCTGCGTTTACCGTTACTGTTGCCTCCTGTGTCGGTCCCTTCATCGTCGCTGCTGGTACCGTCGCCCGAGCTGCTGTTGTACTGTTAGCCGCTCGTGTCGTCACAATGATGTCTGTCGTAGTCGCTAGACCACCACTCGTCATCTCAGCGTCTGCCGTGGTGCTCTGCATCACAGGACCTTTGCCGAGGCTCGCTCGTTTCGTTGTCGACGATGTCGGCATGACACTGTCCGTCGGATCGCTGTCGTCCGCTGGCGTTGCTTCCGCGTCCACAGGCGACTGCTCATCCATGAAGTGCACATGCTTCTGTCCTTGCTCTCGAATACGCGCACTACGTAGTGGGGATGATGGCGGCGTTGTTCGTGGGCGCCTCTCGCGTCTTTTTCGCGTCTGGTGCGTCGTTCTGCCCGTCTCGGCCGTTACGCCGCCCAGTGTACTAGTCGTACCCGTAGAGTCCGTCAATGCCACCGCTATCGTCGTTGGTGTCGTAGTAGTCACCGTCGTCGTAGTAGTACTCGGCGTTGTCGTTATACCTGTCGTCCCTGGAATCGTCGAGCGATCCACACTCACCGATGCATCCTTTGCCATCGCTACATCATCAGCCGTCACTACTGTATCGTCGGCTATCACCGTCGCTACCTTTGTCATGAGGTTTCGCCGTGCTGCAGTGTCGTGTGGAACTGCTGCCGTCGCCAACCGCGTATCCTCCATTATCGTGTCCGTCGTAGCTGCTGCCGTCTCAGCTGCCGTCACCGCTTCTGCCGTTGTTACCGGAACGTCAGGCAACGTCATGTCGGCCGCCGCCGTTGAGTCACTCGCTTCTACCGCTGCTTCCGGTGCCGCCACCACCGTTCTCACACTCGCCGCCAACACCCCCGAGTTGCTCGTTCCTACCGCATCATCCGCTGCGTCGTTTGTCGTCGTAGTCGCGTTCGTCAACGTAGTCGTCGCCGGTTTCGCCGTTGCCGCGTTGTCCGTCGCTGCCATATTGCCTGAGGTTCTCGCAGCCGTCGTTCGCATATTTGCAGCTATCGCGTTCGTACCCAACGCCGTATCCATCGTAATAGCCAGTGCCGTACCGTTAGGTGATCTCATTATAGTACTAACCGCCTCGGCTGCCACATTCGCCTTCTCGGTCGCCGCCAACGTTATGAACGCCGCGCTGTTCGCCCTTACGTCATCACCTCCTGCGCGTGACCCTACCAGGTCTTCTATTAATCATACCACCGCTCGTATAGCTGCCGGAGCTCGCGATAAGGCGTCCGCCACAACATTCGTCGACCCAGGACGATATTCAATACTAAAATCATATTCTTGTAGTGTTAGTGACCAGCGATGGAGCCATCCCGCCAAATTCGGTCTCGTCATCAACCACTTCAATGCTGCGTGGTCGGTGATAATGCTAAAAGTTCTATCGTACAGGAACGGCCTGAAAAGCTTTACTGACCAGACCACCGCCAAGCATTCAAGCTCGGTAATCGAGTAGTTTGATTCTGCACTGCTATTCACTTTTGAAGCGTACGCAACTGGCTGCCACACACGTCCGAAGTCTTGCATGAGGCAGGGACCGAGTCCTGTCTTGCTAGCGTCCGTCACGAGTCGAAACGCCCTTCCAAAGTCGGGGTACCGCAGCAGGGGTCGCTTAGTTAGTAGCGATTTTATCCGTCCGAAAGCCTGCTCCTGATCCTCCGTCCATTGCAACGGACAATCCTTTTTCAATAAGCGCGTCATGGGCTCAGCAATCGATCCAAAACCCGCAACAAATTTCCGATAGTAGCCCGCCAGGTGGACAAACCGCTTCACCTCCGTAGCATCAACCGGCCTCGGGAAGTCAGTCACCGCCTTCACAAGTCTCTCCGTCGGCTGCACTCAGCGTGTGTCCCAGGTACTCCATCGACTCGGACACGAAGCTGCACTTCTTGAGTTTTAGGCTAAGACGTGCACTGGCCAGCCGCTCCAGCACATTCGCCACTTCGACTACGTGTTGCTCCACGCCGCCCTTCGTAAATACCACGATGTCGTCTAAGTATACCAAGCACTTCATCCACGTCAGGCCTCGCAGTACACCATTCATTAGTCGCTGGAAGGTTGCCGGTGCATGGGCTTCATACTCAGCTCCAGTAACGAGGTGTCGAATCTCGAAAGAGTGTGACCGTGCTGCTACCACTTGGATTGGGCCAACCCACTGCCCAAGTAATTTGTTGTTGGGTAGTCGCTGGTCGATTCGCGACCAGAGAACGAAGTCTCCGACGTCGAAATTTGCTGCGACGCCGTACTTGGCTGCCATCGCTTGTAGACGTCGACGTTCCTTAACGTCCACAACTTCCTTATGAAGATCGTCTACGAAGTCGCTCCAAATGCTCTTCCACTGCATCCGGCGTGATCTCCAGCAATTCCTCGTCGCTGCCAGGTCCACGTACGACGACATCCAGAGCAGAAGGTGGAGTAAGCCCAGTAAACAACTCCATAGGCGAGTAACCTCCAAGTGATCTGACTGCAGTGTGATTCAGATTGGCTTGGACAATGACAAGTAGGTATGACCACTCGTGGAAATCCAGCTTGTACTCCAGAAGTAGCGCACGGAAAACCTGAAGGATGTCCTTATTCAAGCGGTCAATGGTCCCATTAATCCACGGACTATATAGTGGGGAGAACTTGCGCTCGATCTTCAACCGCGCACACAGGTGGTCCACCAATTCGTTACGAAAGTGCGAGCCCTGGTCAGATAGCAGAATCTCGGGCAGCCGTACCGCTTGTACCATGCCAGGAGACCTTCTGCTGCAGTGTACGCTGTAGGTGTGCTGCACGGAAACAACTCACAATAGTGCGTGCGGGAGTTCTTTAGCACCAGAAGATAGCAACTACCGTCAAATCCGTCAACTAAATTGGTGAAATCCCAGTGAAGTCCTTCATTGCGTCGGCTAGCGGTAAAAGTAGGTCCATACGGGCGCTGAATCAATCTTGATCCCTTGATATGTTTGTACAACAGACATTAGCGCACAAACTTGGCCACTTTCTCGTGCAGCTTTAATATGTAGAATCGTTCAGCAAGAGCAGTCTTCATTGGCACTACTCCTCGATGACCATGGGCACCGCAGTGTGCCACGACGAACAGGCGGGCAAGCAGGTCAGTGGCAGTAGTTGGGATGCAGGGGCGACCACTAGTACACACCACACAATCCACCTCCTCAAGCTCGACCGTTAGCCGTCCACGCTCATTGCGAGCAAGCTCTTGGGCATCTCCAATGTCCTCAACGGAAGGAAAAACAAAACCCGCGTCCTCGAGGGGGCGAAGTGGCGAGAGATTCTCAACAGGACGAGCTGTTCCACGTCGAATGCGAACAACGGCGGCACATACGGGTTCGGGAAAGCGCCAACGAGACACGATGTCAGCCCAGACATTCGGTTCGCCTGGAATGTGCTCGATAGAGTAGATCAGACCGCAGAGGCGCATGGCCCAACGCTGCAGTCGGTCTCGAATGTGACGCTTGAGCTCCTCACGTGGTGCGGATTAGGTTGGGATGGTCACAAAAAAGCTTGAATCTTTTGCGGCGGAGAAGGATATAGTCGAGTTCCGAGCAAGCTTGGATAATTGGGTAAGCCTCCTTTTCCACTATCGACCATCCACGTTGGTGATCCTTGAAAGATCCACCCTTGCACACTACCAGTTGGTGGGCTTGCTTGTCGACCGGGAGCGAGCTGTCCCAAGTCTGTACCATCGTCACCACGATACTGTACCCATCCAAGCTCGCATCAGTGAAGACGCAGATCTCATCCTCGTCACTTGGAGACACACGCAGAGCTGCAGCACTGATGAGCTGGAGGACGCTATGGTATGTCGCTTCCTCGTCACTGGTCCACGCCAGCGTTAAGAGCGTTTCGGCGGCGACGACCAATGCGTTTGCGTTCCGCATCCAGCTTCACCTGCAACGGAGCCACCATACGCGCATAGTCCACCAGCGAGCCATGCAACCTGTTCGACGCGCACACAAAATACTGGAGCTCGGCCACCGCGCTAGGAAGTGGTAGATTTGAAAGGGCACGCACTATTTCGGGGTCGTGACGGACTCCCTCGCCAGAAATGAGGCGTCCACACCAAATGATCGAGGTCTTATAGAGGGAGGTCTTCGGGAGGTTGAGTTTCAGGTTATGCTCAACAAGCAGCTCGAAGAATCGCAGCAAGACCTTGAGAAACTCGTCCATCGTATCCGCAAATAGTATAACATCGTCAATCCAAACCATGCCATTGCGGGGAATGAGCTCAGCAAGAGCAGTCTGCATCGTTCCTTGAAAATGCAGTGCAGAGTCGACGGTACCCTGGACAACTCGAGTGGGAGTTGAAACACCGTCGTCCGTCATGAAAGACGTGATCGCCTGGATATCCTCGTCCAAAGGCAGCTGCCAAAAGCCATCCTTCATGTCGAACGACGCAAACGCCTCCTTGCGGGTGATACTGTCCAGTACCTTGTTCCCATTCGGCATAGTACCTGCAATCGGGACTGTTCTGGCGTTTACCGGCCGATAATCGATAGTCAACCTGTACTTGTCCTTAGTACCAGGCTTGCGTACAGGAACCGCCGCTGAGGCCCAGCGGGAGCTGTTGTTCCTGCGAACTTGACCACGATCCAGTAGTTGCTGCACCGTTTCGCGAAGGAACTGACTGTGGAGAGGCGCGTACTTCCTCTGCTTACACCGGAAGGGTGTCGCTCCCTCCTGAATCGTCACGCGGATCGGTTCCACCGCCGCCGGCGGCCCGAATCCAACCTCGTCCGCCCATACATCACCTTCGGAGCCCACTTGACGCATGACCTCTGCATACTGCATATCCATTCCATTCAGTAGGGCCTTGTTCATTAGATCCTCCAGACACGTGATCTGCATGCCAGGCCCCATAGACGTCGGGATTGCATCACTCAAAGAAAATTCGTCATCCTCTAGAGAGAGAGGACCGTCGCTAGCGAGCTGTGCTAGCATCGCGTCAACGTCAATCCCTAGACCATGTAGCGTGTTTTTGCCAAGAGGAGCTCGTCCTCATCACTCTGCAGGACCAGACACCTCACGTCGCGCACTTGAACCAACTCAGCCGTAGTCGTAAGGGCGAGGTCCACCTTGACCTCTTCTACGCAGGACATGGCCTGACCGTCGGCCAACGTCACCGGAACCGGATTGTGGAGTCGCTAAACATCTAAATCTGGCTGAACGGTCCGTAGAGTCTCCACCACACCACTTGGGATGATACTGCGGTCAGCTCCACTGTCAGGGAGGTACACCACTACCACGAGATTATTAATTCTCACAGTTTTCAAGGAACCCGTTCCTTTCGCTGCCTTAGATCGAACGCGCTGTTCTTTGGCCGTCCGGAACTTATCCAGAGCCTCCCTTCGCTGCTCTTCTGTAGCCGTAGGACACTCCTTCAGCCAGTGGGCACCACCGCACACCAGACAGCCATCTACAGGAGGCTTGGCAGTCTTCGCCGGACGCGTCCCTGTCAGAGCACCTGGCTTTGTGCCACGACCCGTCGTCGTAGCTGGCTGCTTCTGCGACTGGCTTACTTGGTTCTTAGCAGAACGGGAGGTGGCAACAGCGGGGGCACTTTCTTTGTTCAGCCGATGGTACCGGTGCTGTGCCTTGGCGTGCTCTAGGATTAGGTCGAAAACTGCGACGTCATCTGTACGGCAATCACGTCGATCCAAATCAACCAGACGCTCTATCTGCTCTCGTAGAACAGCTCGCTGCAAATTATCCATCAGGAGCTTGCACCGCGCCTTCATCCTGTCCCTGTAGCCAGGAAGAGACGTGTCGGTCTTGCCGATCAGTTGCTGTAGACCATTATCCTCCACAACCTTCACAAAGTCTTGAAAGTACCGACAGATTCTGGCATCACAGTCATCGATTGATAGATCCATGCGTAGGTTTTTCTTGAACAGAGACTTAACATCAGGCACATAGGCATTCTTGAGGCTGTTGCACCTGCCATGGACCAGCTGCAGGACATCGTTGTCCAAAATCACCTCAGCCGGTCGCTTCAGCACGTACGCGGCGATAATCTTCATGACCTCGGGCTTGACACCCTTCACCGTAGACACCACGGCTTCGAACCGCTCACCAGTCACAGCACACCGCCGACGAATCTTGCCCAAGTAGTGTTCCCGTACCACACAATCAACGCAGACTGCTCCCAGCTTGCCAGCTCTGGTGGGCGCACGACCTCGTAGATAGGTTGAGGCACCGTGCTCTCCATGACCACGTCGCCATCAGCCTCGACTGTGTAGACCATCTTGATGTCTTGACTTGACTTGAGTATACCAGACTTAGGTATACTACGAACTTAGTCCGAACGTCGGTGCGAACTTAACAGAAAATTGCTACGTGCAACCTTCGTGCAACCTCCAACCGACGACGCGTGATGGAGGGTCGAAAAACCAAAAAGCGCCTTCAAGAAAAGCACAAAGTTAACTTTGTCGTGAGAACCCGGGGTGTTGCTTGCAAGGCAAGTTGATTAATGAGAATTAACTAGAGACTAACTAACCGACCTCTTTGTCCTCTCCTAGCCTCCTCTTATGTAGCCAGCGCTGCCTCCTGAGCAGCGCCGTAAATGTAAAGTCCACGAGCGCCCAGCTAGCGACCGTAAACAGGAATCGAGTTTGTCCAAGTAGCTTTTGTCGAGTCCGTGTCGGGGTTCAATGCCTTCGTGCCGACGCGTGCAGCGTCGGCGTGTCTTAATCCAGTCACATCCACGGAGGTTGCGAGGCGCTACTCGTCGAGATCATTGCCATGATCAACCACGGCGACAGCAGTTTGACTCAACCGTAGCTGACGCCCAACAATTTACCAAGTTTTTTCCGACGTGGCGGCTTGCGAATCGAGTGATATGGCACACTTGGCTTCGATATGGATAAATATAGTGATTTTTCCGACAGATAGTTCTACAGATTTGCTCCGTTGCTACTCAATTGCAAATATTAGCCTATCATATCGTGTCTCTCCTGAGTTTCAGCCAATGATTTTGTTTAGGGCTAGGTGTACAGCTTCCGACGCTTTCCGACAAATATTTGTCAAAAGCTCAGCCAAAATATGTATTTCTCGATACAAACATGAAGTCAAAAAAATGTTCTGAATATATTCAAACGGTTCTTACAACTAGGCCTAATCCTGAAGTAGGACAGGTAAAAAGGACGTTGGTGGACAGCCATTCGTTGACCACTTTTCAAAAAGGTAAAAGACACGCACATGAGCCTATCAGCTTTTGTACCAACAAACACGCAAAAGGCACGCGCCACCGCTATCAGCGCGTTCAAGCTAATGCTGGAGCTTGAGGGTGTTAGTATGGAATTTGTCCACGCTAGCATTCTCAAAGACGATTCTGCCAAACGTCTTGCCGCAGCAATGGATCGATTCGGCTATTATCTTGCTACAAATGAAGATAAGACCGGTAAACTAGCACGCAACACTGAGTCTTCGTACTATAGGAATGTAAAACTTTGGCTATTCGACTCGTACCCGCACTTACGTGTGGCTACTGAATTGATATTGTTAAAGCAAGGTAAAACGCTAGATAAGCACTGCTTAAAACGTGAAAATGGTGGACTAACTAATAAGGCTCCTCCCTGTACGAAAGAAGATTTAAAAGCTTTTGTTCGT